CAGTACCTAAATAAGCACATGCAACATGCCTTAATGACTACCGCTCAGTGGCTCTAATCTCAATAATCATGAGGTGCTTCAAGAGGGTGGTCATGGCCCACATCACCTCCAGTCTCCCAGCCTGCCTTGATCCCCTGCAATTTGCCTTCTGACGTAATAGGTCTACAGCGAACACCATTCCCCTAGCCCTGCACTCATCCCTGGAACATCTGGACACAAGAAAACCTATGACAGACTCCTGCTCATCGACTACAGCTCTGCCTTCAACACCATTATCCCCTCCAGGCTCATCTCAAAACTCCTGAGACCTAGATAAAAACCAAAAGAACTGAGGATGCTGTAAATCAGGAGCAAAAACAGAAGTTGCTGGAAAAGCTCAGCAGGTCTGGCAGTATCTGTGAAGAAAAACTCAAGAGTTAATGTTTTGGGTCCGGTGACCCTTCCTCAGAACAGTTCTGAGGAAAGGTGCAGGACTGGATGAACACAGCAGGCCAAGCAGCATCATAGGAGCAGAAAGGCTGACGTTTCGGGCCTAGACCCTTCATCAGAAAAGGGGGAGGGGAAGGGTGTTCTGAAATAAATAGGGAGAGAGTGGGAGGCGGATAGAAGATGGATAGAGGAGAGCATAGGTGGAGAGGAAACAAACAGGTCGAAGAGGCAGGGATGGAGCCAGTAAAGGTGAGTGTAGGTGGGGAGTTAGGGAGGGGATAGGTCAGTCCAGGGAGGACGGACAGGTCAAGGGGGCGGGATGAGGTTAGTCGGTTGGAGATGGGGGTGCGGCTTGAGGTGGGAGGAAGAACAGGCTAGGGAGGCGGGGACGAGCTGGACTGGTTTTGGGATGCGGTAGGGGGAGGGGAGATTTTGAAGCTTGTGAAATCCACATTGATACCATTGGGCTGCAGGGTTCCCAAGCAGAATATGAGTTGCTGTTCCTGCAACCTTCGGGTGGCATCATTGTGGCACTGCAGGAGGCCCAGGATGGACATGTCGTCTGAGGAATGGGAGGGGGAGTTGAAATGGTTCACGACTGGGAGGTGCAGTTGTTTATTGCGAACCGAGCATAGGTGTTCTGCAAAGCGATCCCCGAGCCTCCGCTTGGTTTCCCCGATGTAGAGGAAACCACACCGGGTGCAGCGGATGCAGTATACCACATTGGCAGATGTGCAGGTGAACATCTGCTTGATGTGGAAAGTCTTATTGGGGCCTGGGATGGGGGGCAGGTGTAGCACTTCGTGCGGTTGCAGGGAAAAGTGCCGGGTGTGGTGGGGCTGGAGGGGAGTGTGGAGTGGACAAGGGAGTCACGGAGAGAGTGGTCCCTCCGGAAAGCAGATAAGGGTGGGGAGGGAAAGGTGTCTTTGGTGGTGGGGTCGGATTGCAGATGGCGGAAGTGTCGGAGGATGATGCGTTGGATCCGGAGGTTGGTGGGGTGGTACGTGAGGACGAGGGGGAAACGTCAGCCTTTCTGCTCCTATGATGCTGCTTGGCCTGCTGTGTTCATCCAGCCCTGCACCTTGTTGTCTCGGATTCTCCAGCATCTGCAGTTCCTACTATCTCTGAGGAAAGGTCACTGGATTCGAAACATTAACTCTGATTTTTTCTTCACAGATACTGCCAGACTTGCTGAGCTTTTCCAGCAACTTCTGCTTTTGCTCCTGAGACCTAGGTCAGCCCTCTGCATCTGGATCCTCAGCTTCCTGATCCGTAGACCACAATCAGTGAAGATAGACAACAGCACCTTCTCCACAGTAACCCTCAACACTGGTGTCCCCACTCCCAAGGATGCATTCTTAGCCCCTTTCTGTACTCCCCGTACACCCGCGAATGTGTAGCCATAATTCTGAACAAGGGCCAGCTACAAGTTTGCTGATGACACCACTGTGGTAGAACAGATTTCAAACAATGTTAAGTCAGGAAAGGAGATAGAGGGCTTGGTGGCATGGTGCTATGATAACAACCTGTCTCTCAATGTCAGCAAAACAAAAGATCTGATCATTGACTTCAGAAAGAAAGGAGGAGAACATGCCCCCATCTTCATCCGCGGAGCAGAGGTTGAGAGCGTCAAGTTCCTAGGATGTTGATATCTGACAGCCTGTCCTGGACTTACCATGTAGATGTGATGGTCAAGAAGGCACAACAATGCCACCTCTTCTTCAGGCGGCTCAGGAAATTCAGCATGTCCATAAGAACCCTCACCAGCTTTTACAGATGAACCATAGCAAGTATTCTATCCGGGTGCATAATGATCTGGTATGACAACTGCTCTGCCCAGGACCATAAGAAACTACAGAAGGTGGTGTGCATGGCCCAGACCATCATGGAAGCCAACCTTCCACCCGTGGACTCAGTTTACACTTCTCCTGTCCACGGAAAGGATTCCAACATCATCAAATACTCTTAACCCACTAATGCTCTCCTACAATCTCTTCCATCAGGCAGAAGATACTGAAGCTTGAACACGCACCAACAGGTTCAAGAACAGCTTCTTCCCTGCCATTATTAGACTGCTGAATGGACTGTGTAACTTCAAGTAATGTTGATCTTGTTAATGTCGATCTTGCTTTGCACACCTCATGTGCAGCATAATCTTGTAGGCCTCACTCTGTCTAAGTACCCTATGATCTGTATGTCCTTGCTTACTATGATCTGTCTGTACTGCTTGAAAACAAAGCTTTTCACTGCACTTAGGTACACTTGACAATAAATCAAATCAAATCAAATCAATAACACCCGTATAACAGCACACAAAATAAATAGGAATGGCATAGGGTCTTTGCCAGAGGGGCACTAGTGGTCGAGAGAGACACTCTGAGGAGGTCAGGGAAAAGAAAGGCTGAAGGGAGTAAGAAAAAGGAAAATTTCTATTTTATCCTAAACACAAAACAAATTTAATTTTTTCTTTTAAAATGTTGTAGTTATTGTGCTTTTCTGTTGATAGGAGATTTTTTTTTAAATTCAGTAACTAGAAAAACTTGCACACAAGCAAATGGGGTTAAAATAAAGAGTTCCAAAATAGAAGTGGCAGTGTAGCAATTTTTATTATCAATGCTGAAATTTATCAAGTTCTGGGGAAATGTTCACTTTTAACTTGTTTAGTTGTTATTTAGTTATATTTGCTTTATTCTCTGTTTGAATTAATAATTTAAAAAGTATTTCATCACCTGTGTATTTTCAGCTTTTAAACACTACTCACAGTAGCTCAAATGTTGGATATTTCCATAGATACTCGACCTCTTAAAACAACAGTATGGTTTATATGTATATCAGAACCAGCCGAATCATTTTACTTTGGTAATACCCATTTCTAATTGTGTTCGAACAACAGCAAAGCTTTCCAATTGAAAATTGAAAAAGAAAACAAATTAGATTAACATTTGAATTTCATATTTAATAGCAGATTGCATGCTTAAAATACCTGTCAGATATAAAATGGTTCTCAATGTAATGTTAAATACACGTTACTTAAAATGGCAGCATAATCTGTTTATATTTATCAAAAGTTCATGGATTTGGCAATTATCTGTATTATTCAATTGTTACTTTATCCTAACGTCATGTTGGTTCTTAAACCCATATTTCAATTATTTCACTGTCTTCCTTCCAAAATTGAGACAGTAAAGAATAACTTAAGTTAATGATAATAAATACACCAACTCTTTAAAGTGCAATGACTTTAGGCTATTTGTTCATGTTTCTCTTTTTTGTATTTCTTAATTCTACCTGCCTGAGAATAGGCATTCTATAATAATACGCTGGTAGATCCATTAGGTCTACAGAAGACAGTCCTGCTGGCAAAAGGGAAAGAAACTGGTGCTAGTATTATGTAAATTACTTCCTGAACAATAAAAATCATTGTAGCTTTTGCCACGATTCAAGTGCTTAATACGTGCTCTGAACATCTTCTCTGTACAATATTATAACAGGCGGTTCTTTAAATTTAAGAAAAGATCATGACACTTCCTTTGATTCAATAATGCCGCATACAATAGTTTACCATATTGCATAAATATTCTCCAAATCAAAATGTTCATAGTGTTGGGAGTGTTCAAAGGACATTGCATTTATCTATAATGGCTGAACACACTGCATCATTACAGTACAAGTGGAAAATATTTTCTGCCCATGTATTCGGAAGTCTGCAGATATTCAGATGCACATGAATTCTCGATGACTTTGGTACAAACTTCTCAGATTTATAACTTGAGAAGTTTGTACAGGCAATTTCAGTTAAAAATCTCCTAGAAATTAATCAGTAATTGAGCCGTATTAGCTAAGAAAGTCTCAGGTACCATCTTTGGCCTCTGCTGGATTGCAGTTAGGGTGATACAATTGACAACAGGTTAGGAAAAGCAAAACTTGCCCAGTGGTGCCTCTCTTGATTCTTATCCAGTGATTCCTTCAGGAATTGTGAAATGTTAATGTGCCTCATGGGTGAGAACTCTACTATGCTTCATAAAAATAGTGATAATATAATGCCAACCATCATGTTAAAACTTACATGTTAATAATAATGATTTGGACAGGATACCAAAAGGCATTTACACATTTGGAACCATATCCTAGGAAGGATTCTCTCCTTTCAGGAAAGTAGAATTATGATAGATAAAAATTGCTAAAGAAACAGATCTGAAGTATGGTCCTACACAAATATCTAAGATTTGTTTTTCCTTTTGATTTTGGCTATTTAATACTGTGTGCACTGAAACCTGCATAAAGCAACAGAAACTACATTTTCCCACAAAAAGAATGTTAAAGTAGTGTAACTTCGAAAGTGGATCTCTGAAAATCGGTATTCTATTTGCAGCTCTTTTCATTATCACACTGAAGACCTGTTTTATGGATACACCATTAGTTGTGCATATCATTATGATTGCAATATTTATATAGTCCTGTTATATGATTAAGCAAATACTGTAAGCAAATTAAGAAACTCAAATGGATGTGTTGGCTCTCTCAATATTTTAAATGAAGATTGCCTTTATCAAAACTTTATTTTTTTAAAGGTATTGACCAAGGGCAGATGACATACGATGGTCAACACTGGCATGCCACAGAGTTGTGTTTCTGCTGTGCACGTTGCAAGAAGTCATTACTTGGACGACCCTTCCTACCAAAACAAGGACAGATATTTTGCTCCAGATCCTGTAGTGTTGGGGAAGACCCCAATGGCTCTGACTCTTCAGACTCTGCATTTCAGAGCGCACGATCAAGAGAATCTCGGCGCAGTGCTAGAATAGGTAGAAACAGCAATAAGGTAGAAGATAAAAATGTAAGACCAAATATATCACAAGCATCAATGAACAGATATTCTACAGATATTGATCCTCTTTCTCAACAAATGGATATGTTAAGTCTTGCTGGTCAAGCGACCAGTTTGAACAAAGAGACTCTTTGGAAAACCAGAGATGTCTACCAGTTTGAAGACGATTCTACTGAGAGGGCTAAATTTGCAGAAAGACCTTCTCAATCTCTAAATCAGTATAGCGTCAGGAATGAATTTAATCCAACACATTGCGTAAGCAATCAGAGTGATATATGGGGGAAAGAATTTAATGCAAAGAGAAGTTCAACTGCTGCCTTGAAAGATCATAGTGATAGTTTTATCCAAGAAGATAAAGAAGATTATTATCCTTCAGCAGTCAGAACTCAAGAAAGCTTTAGTAGTACATCAAGCCACAGTGTTACTGAAGCCCGATCAAATCCAACTGTACAAGGATATGACATGGAAAGAGAATTGGTTTCTCATCAGTGTCGAACCAGACATCCAATCAGTGCACTTAGTTTTACCGATCAACTTACCTTTCTTGAACAAACCCCAAGGGAATCAATAGAATCTCTTGCACTTTCAAATGCAACAGGTACAGTATACTTGTGATTAATTATTAATTAAAGTAAACCTAGTGGCTTTTCCAGAATCAATACAGTGTGGAGCTGGAGGAACACAGCAGGTGAGGCAGCATCAGAGGAACAGAAAAGTCGACATTTCGGGTCAGGACCCTTCCTCAGGACTGGGGAGGGGGAAGGAAGCTAGGAAATAAATGAAGGAGGGGTCGGGCTGGGGCAAGATAGGTGGGATGGTGATAGGTAGGTGCAGGTAAGAGGTGGTGGTGATTGTTCTGTGGGAAGGTGGGGCGAATAGGTGGGAGGGAAGGTGGGGCGAATAGGTGGGAGGGAAGGTGGGTAGGTTGTGTCAGGTCATGGAGGAGGGCATGAGAGGGAGGGTTGGACATGGGATGAAGCTGGGGGTGGGGAGATTTTGAAACTGGTGAATTCTGTGTTCAGGCCATCGGGCTGTACGCTCCGGAGGTGAATTATGAAGTGTTGCTTCTCCAGTTAGTGTGTGGCGTCATTGTGGCACGGGAGGAGGCCCAGGATGGATGTGTCACCAAGGGATTGGGAGGGGGAGTTATAATGATTGGCAACTGGAAGGTGTTGTTGATTATAGAGTATAGAGCGCAGATGGTCCGTGAAACGGTCACTGAGTTCGCGCTTGGTCTCACCAATGTAGAGGAGGCCACATCAGGAGCAACAGATGCAGTAGACCAAGTTGGAGGATGTACAGGTGAACCCCTGTTAGATTTGGAAAGTTTGTCTTGAGCCTTGGATGGCGGTGAGATGGGAGGTGTAGGAGCAGGTGTTGCACCTCCTGCAGTTGCAGGGAAAGGTGCTGGATATGGTGGGGTTGGTGGGAAGCGTGGAGTGGATGAGGGAGTAACAGAGTGAGCAGTCCCTACAGAAGGCAGATAGGGTGGAGAGGGAAATATCTCTTTAGTAGTAGGGTCAGACTGCAGTGATGGAGGATGAATTGCTGGATGCGGAAGTTGGTCGTGTTATGTGAGGACCAGGGGAACTCTATCCTTATTTTTGTTGGAGGGAATGTGTTTGAGGGCAGAAGTGTGAAAAACACAAGAGATGAGGTTGAGATAACACGGTGTGAAGCTGGAGGAACACAGCAGGCCAGGCATCATCAGAGGAGTAGGAAATTTGACGTTTCGGGTCAGGACCCTGATTCTGAAGAATTTCAGGGATGCGGTTGGGGGCATTTTGGATCAACAGAGGGAGAGAAGTTGCTGTCCTTGAAGTAGGAGGATATCTGGGATGTCTGGGAGTGGAATGCTAAATCTTGGGAGCAGATGCGGTGGAGGCAGGGGAATTGGGAGTATGGGATCGCATTCTTGCAGGAAGGTGGGTGAGAGGAGGTGTAATTAAGGTAGCTGCGGGAGTCGGTGGGCTTGAAATAGATGTCGGCGCTGAGACAATTACCGGAAATATATAAGGAGGTCCAAGAAGGGGAGGGAGGTATCAGAGATTGGATATCCTCCAACCTAGTCTACTGTATCTGTTGCTGCCGATGTGGCCTCCTCTATATGGGTGAGACCAAGCACAACTTGGTCACCGATTCGCGGAGCAACTGCATTCTGTTGCCAACCATTTTAACTTCCCCTCCCACTCCCTTGGTGACATGCCCAACTTGGGCCTCCTCCAGTGCCACAATGACACCACATACAAACTGGAGGAACAACACCTAATATTCTGCCTTGGGAGCCAATGGCCTGATGGCCTGAACATAGAATTCACCAGTTTCAAAATCTCCCCACCCCTGGCCTCATCTCATGTCCACGACCCTGTCTCATCCCCACCTCCTTGACTCGACACAACCTGTCCATCTTCCTTCTCACACATCCACTCCATCCTTTCCATTGACCAATCTGTACAACTCCCTACCTGTGTCCACCTATTACCATCCCACCAACCGTCCCCAAGCCCCACCCCTCCTTCCTCTATTTATTTCCCAGCTCCTTTCCCCCTCCCTAGTCCTGATGAAGGCCCTGACCCAAAACATCGACTTTCCTGCTCTTCTGATGCTGCCTGACCTGTGTTCCTCCAGCTTCACACTGTATTGACTCTGACTCCAGTATCTGCAGTTCTTGCTATCTCCTGGCTTACCCAGAAGCAGCTTTGAAAAAGAGGCCAACTCATATTGAAGCCACAGAGAGCAGTAGTCCCAGGGCTAAGTTGGCAGATCTTAACTAAGATGGCAAGAGCAGACCAATTGGTTCATTCTCAAAATAGCTGCAAAATCACGACTAATACTACCCTGTCATTATCTTCAGGAACAGGTTTACAAAAATACCCTCATCAGAATATTACACTTTGGAAACATTGATGTCAGAGCTGCTTGGGCAATGAAGTTAGCCCTGGAGATTGTGGACCATGTATTTGCTATCCAGTAATCTATTTACTTTTTGTTTGATACAATTTCTAATAGCAATCAAGAATAAGCCTAACTGCCTCTTAAAGGCATGCAAATGAAGCACCCATCGCATCAGCTAACAACGCAACCTGAAAGCTCACTACTGACTGGGAAATGAGCAGTCTATCATCTAACCTATTCCTACTTTGCATAATTTCTTCTCAAATTTTTAACACCCCGCCCCCACTCCTGATGCCTTCCAGCAAACTCCAGTCTAACAAACTAGAATATCCATCCATAGATGTGCCGTTCAGCCCTTTCATTATTTTTTAAATGTCTGTCAGATCAATCCTTGAGGCTGACAGAAGAATAGTGTTCATTGAACTAGGAATATTCAGTCTTCTGAACTTTGCCCCAGGCCCCCAAATCACCTACATATAATGGGCAAAAACTGTCCACAGTACTTTAGATGTGGTCTTATCAGTGACCTGTAGGATGATTGAAAGATCCATTCATTTATACTGAATGTTTCCATTGATACAATTCAATAGCCTGTTAAATTTAGCCATAGTTTCTCCACATTTGTTGGCTGATGTGTTTATCCTTGTTGATGATGGAAATACTTTGTTTGGTCTTACACAATTCAGTGGGCTTTTCTTCCATACTTTTGCAATTTACCCCTTCGAGTCTTTCCATTGCTTTCTGTCATAATTTTATAATAATTCTGAGAATATGACCAATAGTTTCAGTACTATTGGATAATATTTGATTGATGATTGTTTTCATAGATTTATGCACATCCAGACTAATTTCTTTTTAACTTCTTGTTAAATTAGCCCTGTAAAACAGTTTAAAGAGCTAGCAGCAGACTAAGGAAAGGTTCATTTTGTACTGTCCTCATGTAGATCAGCTATTTATTAACACACCATTAAAATTTCTATGGTTACCAATTATTTCACTCAAAGGCCAGAACCTTTCAGAGGCAACAGAGGCCCATTGAAGGAGGTGAAAGCAGGAGTGACAGGGTTTTACAGTCAGCAAACAATTAAGTGGCAAGCAGTGGCCTTGCTTTCTTATTCAGAATGGTGACCTACTCCCAACTACCAATCATCAGGTTGGTAGCTCAGCAGCCAACAGGAGTGTTGCCACTGCTGTAAATGCACTTTGAGCAAGAGTACATATTGATGGACACACACCCGCACAACCAGGTAAGTAGGGTCTGGGGAACTGGGGCAGTCAAACAAGCCCTGATGAACCTAGAGTTGGGAATATCACCGAGATCAGGCAGGGCTGATATTGCATGAATGGCCATTGCAACTAAGATCAAACTGAGCCCATAAAGGAGGCGAATCCTCCCTGGAGCACACTGGGAGACCTGACATCCTCCCAGGTTGAGAAATACTGACTTGCCACAGGTGAAATGCCAGTGGAGGCAGGAAGAAGCCCTTATTTGGCCATTAAGGTGTCTCAAATGGGCTCTATTTAGGAACTACATCTTTCACTTTTCTCACCGCTGACAAAGTGACGCGCTGATGGAATGGAAGCAGACATACCACTGGGAGCCTTACCATGCTATTTTGCCAGCCTTCCTACTTAACCTCATGCCCAAGGACCCTGAAATTCTGGCAAAGGAATATGAAGCCTGCAAACAAATTATTTTGGGAGCTTCAGATTTTAAAATTTGCTTAAAAGTAGTTTGGCTTAATTTGATTTTCAGTTTCATTTTCGGGAGGAATTTATTTTTCCTTGAACAAATTGATTCTTGTTATAGTTAATCTTCAGGCAAGGTGTTCTTCATTGTTTTTTTAATCGTGCCAACAAATTATATTTTCAGCAGCTTCTGTGGAAGGTGGCACCAGACGCCAAGAGCATTTGTCCAGGTTTTCAATGCCTGACTTGAGCAAAGACTCTGGCATGAATGGATCAGAAAAACTTAGCAACATGGGTACACTTAACTCTTCTGCTAGATTTAGAAGCACAGAATCCATTAGAAGCCTAAACTCAGCCCAGCAATACCAGGATCTTCAGCCACCTTTAGATAGGCTCAGGCACCCTTTGCAGTATCGAGAATTATCAACTCAAAGAAGAATGCCACCAGGGTTCGACTGTCCAGATGGTGCCATAAGTAACAGAATGCAAACTAGCATGAATGCTAGAATTGCACCCATGAGTGAACGAACCCAAAGACGTATGCATAATCAGGAGAATAACTCTCGCCATCATCGCCACAGGCCAAGGAGATCGAGACGATCTCGTTCTGATAATGCTCTTCACCTAGCTTCAGACAAACGTTATCAAATGAGAGACAGGTCTCAAATGTTTTCAGGTGAAGACTATGAACAATTACTGATGCGAAGAAGAAGCAGGGATGCATTTGGAAATGGTCAGTTGAGAGATCCATACAGTCGGTATCCTAGAACTGCCTCTGACCTGACATTGCAGAACCAAGTAGGTGATAAATTGCTCAGACCTTATTTTAATGACCATGATGATTGGTGTTCTACCTGTTCCTCATCTTCAGAGTCTGAGGAAGAAGGGTACTTCCTAGGGCAACCTATTCCACGCCCTGTTCAGCTTCGCCCCATTACTAACGATGAATTTATGTATGGTTATAGTTCACCTGTTCCTATATCATCCAACCTGAGTGGCAGGTACCAATCACATTATAGGAAGAGACAAAAAAGCAAGAACTGCATTATCTCATAACTTTTTGCACAATTTATTTCCAGCAAGAATGTAAACTATTAGAAGTTGCACTCAAATGAATTATTAAGAAATTAACATTGGCAAAGGCAATATAACTTAATCAGTATTTAAAAGCTGTTACAATATTCCTGAGTTAAATGAAGGATTCTTTGCTTGCTTTTTTGGTTTAAATCAATTTATTTGTTATATAATATCATCTAATATACATTCTACAGTTATAGTCATCAAATGAATTGTATACATTTTACTAAAACTCCACTTACATAGCTGTGAGCATGTTTACAACTTAAGATATTGTCTATGTTCTTATATTGTGTACTGTAATTCCCCTTCCACTGCCACAGAAAGTTATATCAAGCTTAACAATCAATATGTTATACCAAACAAGTTACAGAACAGCTTAACCTGTTGTTTTTAAATGCTAATGTGTTGCAATTAAACTTGAAAATTCACTAAGTTAATTATATTTACTGTACATATCATGAAAATGGAGGATTTCTAACAAAGTATTTTTATATTTTGTATTGTATAAAGTGTTTTGAAGTAGTAGTCCATGCATGTTTACTTTATTTGTGGTGTTTTCAATGGAAGTTTATTAAAATGTTGCATCCTTTAACAAAATGTTCTTTACTTTTTTTTGGCTGACAAGTATTTGAATATGTTTTCTATATTTATTATCAAAATGTCCATACTACTTAGGAATGCAAATTTCACCCAATTCTGAAACTCATGTCAATTCATGCTAATCCAGCTTGCTGAAAATGTTTTTACTTTCTTGTGAAAATTTTGTGGTGTGAAGGAACACAAAACTATTTTAAAAAATGAGTGATCTGGATGGGTTGGTTCTTCTCTGCCGTTCAACTATACTCTTTAATCAGTCACTGTAACCTTATGTTGTAAACAAGATGAAACAAGTATATAATTCTGCAAATAAGAGAGTATGATTTAAACAGTGATAAGCCTCATTTTAAACTGGTGTACATTATGTTTAAACATTCAGCGAAGCTACCTAACTTACTGGTTATCCTATCCATTTTTCATTGAAAGAACTATCCTAGGAATGCCTGAAATATGTAGACCCTACAATACAGTAGGCTGCTGTTATCAGAAAGCAGAGATCAAAAAGCAAAGGACAGTTTTCAGAATATTAATAATTTAGACTTTGAAATCAAAAACACTGAAAGAATCTTACCAAAAATTGGCTAAGTGTCAGTTCAAGCAAGTTTTGTGAATGGTCTGTCTCTTTGAGCCCTAGTGAGTATTGTTGCGCTTTCTCCCCAAAACATATCTCATTACCTATGCGCCACATCCTCACAGCACCCCATTTGTCTTACTCCTGCACTCACCACAGGTGGAAGTACTGCCCACTGTCAGGACCTCTTAGGGTTCCTGGTGCTGTCTTTAAAGCGAAGCCATACATCAAGACAAGCACTGCCAGCTCATGCTGTCCTAAACAGTTCACTTTATTTGCCCCTGAAATGCCAAAGGTTAGTTGGCATCTTACTTTGCCAAGAGGGACCTGGTGGTCCTCATGGAGGAGGTGAGGGGGGTTGTGCAAGTGAACATTACTCATGGAGATTCAGTTAATGACTGATGAAGGTCTGGAGGAGCAAGCAGTAACTGGTGAGAGAATAGGAAACTGCATGTTAAGGAGGTGAGATGAAGTAGTATTGATGTTAATACATCAAAATAGGCCTCTCGCTGCTCATTAGTGAGAGTCTCATTTCACTGTTCAACACTTGGTTGGAAAATAAGACCTTTTGTTCTCAATGCCAAAAAACTCCTCACTGCCAATCTCATACAATTCTCCCAATTTCCATGTCATTTAAGGGCTGGGAAGATTCCACACACCACTCTTAAATGTTTAGAGGACACAAAAGTAGGGAGTGATGTGAGAAATAGTCAGAACTGAGGATTGTAATAAGTTATAAGAAAATACTTAAACTTACAGAAGAGACATATAATTAGCAAACTAATTTCAGCATAACATGATACTGTATGTAACACATTTTGGCAAGAAAAATAAAGGAGATAACTTTTGTAAAATAATCTGATATAAATGGGGTAGACGAACAAAGGAAACTAAGGGTATAAAATGTGTAACTCACTAAAGGTTGTGAATGGGTCAGTGAGAGTGTTTAAAAAAAACTTCAAAACCAGTGGAGTTAATTTTGAAGGGATATAATTGAAAAGTAAAGAAGTTAAACTAAACTCATTGAACCAATCAAACACACTTGGAGTACTGTTTCAGTTCTGATCACCTTGATAAAAAAAAAGACCCTGAAGAGGATTTGCTAAAGGTCTACAATGTTACGACAAATTTGGAGATGTACCTATCAGGAGAGAATGAGCAGGCTGGATCAATTATCATTGAAAAAGAAGCTGAGGGATGACCTAATAGGTAACTTATGAAAAGTTTTAATAGAGTGGAAACAGAAAATAATTCCATTTTGGCAGGAAAAGCAAAACTAGAGCCATCATTTATTACAGAGTCACTAAGAAATCAAATAAGAAATTTAAAGGAAAATTGTACTTTTCCATGTAGTGGTTCAAAGGAAGAATATAGACCCATTTAAGGGGATATTAGACAAGTATACGAAGGAAAAGGAAGAGAGGCTTATATTGACACACTTAAGTGGAGATAAAACAGAAGGAAGGCTGAAGTGAAGCATAAATGCTGGTATGAACCTGTTAGGCTGATTGGCAAGTTTCTATGGTCTGTATCCTATGTCCTGCCCATTATAACAAATGCTTTGAAGCTCTGGTGTCTCTGGTATTAGTGTCCTGTCTGAGCAATTGCACAATAAATTTAGATAATATAGCAGTTGTCCATTCCTACATTAGCAATATTTTGCATTTATTTCAGTATCTAATGCTGGTAGTTTTTATTTGATATTAAGTGCTGAAAATATTCAGCGGTATGTGTGAAGAGAGAAAAATAAAGGTGAGGTTTCAAGTCCAATAAGACATTTCAGTGAAACTGAAAAGAATTTCCAAGTAAAAGTCGTATTGTTCTCAAATCGCTAACTATTTTGCTCTGCACCAATACTACCACACCTGAGTTTTTTCCCGGTGCACTCCATTTTTATTATATTTTATATTTTACGTCCTGTGACTTTTAAGTTTATTGCCAATTTTAGCACTATTTTATACTATATGTGAATGCCCTAAACTGTTAGGAGCTGCACTGCTACTTTTCAAATCCATTTCTTACAGATTTTACACACATCAGATTTTACATAAAAATCAGAATTAACATTTTGGATCCGGTAGTATTGCTATGTTATTGGTATTATTGCAGTAACATTATTAATTATTGGAGTCAAAATTTCTCCCGTTTCTTCACCTGTTCACAGCCCACGACCGCCACACTCCTCCCCCCACCCACTTAGCCCTCATCACATAATAATATGCTGGTGTAAAACTGTAAGCCATTATATTTATTCCTACAGTACAACACAAATTACAGTTCAAATGTGCTAAATGTGCTTCATTGGCTATAAAACATTTTGGGACATACTGGAATAGTGAAAAGCATTATGAAAAGTGTAAGTTTTTTTTTGTGATCAAATCTCCAACCAAAGCTGACAATCCTAAGCTATTTGGTAGTTAAGATGGAGTTAATGAACCATCAATTGCATTCCCACTTGGCTAAAAGTTTTATCTACTTGAGGTCATAGTAATACACCGCAGAAATAGTCCCTTCAGTCCAACTCATCCATGCCAACAAGATATCTGAAATAGATCTAGTCCCATTTGCCAGGATTTGGCCCATATCCTTCTAATCCTTTCCTATTCATATACCCATCCAGATGCCTTTTAAATATTGTAATTGTACCAGCCATCGCCACCTCCTGTGGCAGCTCATCACATACACACACCACCCTCTGTGAAAAATTTGCCCCCTTAGGTCCCTTTTAAACCTTTCCCCTCTCACTATAAATCTATGCCCTCTAGTTTTAGATTTCTGTACCCTGGGGAAAAGACCTTGACTATTCACCCTATCCATGCCCCTCATAATTTTATAAACTTCTATAAGGTCATCCCTCATCCTCTGATGCTCCAGGGAGAATAGCCCCTGCCTATTCAGCCTCCCTCATAGCTCAAATCTTCCAACCCTGGCAACATCCTTGTAAATTTCTGAATCCTTTCAAGTTTCACTGCATCTTTCCTATCACAGGGAGACCATAATTGAATGCAGTATTCCAATTGTGGCCTAACCAATGTTCTGTACAGCCATAACATAACCTCCCAACTCCTGCACTTAATGCACTGACCAATAAAGGCAAGTGTACAAAAAGCCTTTTTCACTATACTGTCTACCTGTGACTCCACTTTCAAGGAACTATAAACCTGCACTCCAAGGTCTCTCTCAGGACCCTACCACGAAGTGTATAAGTCCTGCCTTGATTTGCCTTATCAAAATGCAGCACCTCACATTTATCAAAATTAAATGTCATCCGCCAATCCTCAGCCCACTGGCCCATCTGATCCTGTTGTACCCTGAGGTAACCTTCTTTGCTGTCCACTACATTACACCGCCAATTTTGGTGTTGTCTACAAACTTACTAACCCTGCCTCCTATATTCACATCCAAATCATTTATGTAAATGTCAAAAAGCAGTGGATCCAGCACCAATCCTTGTGGCACACTGCTGATCACAGGCCTCCAGTCTGAAAAGCAACCCTCTACCACCACACTCTGTTTCCTACCTTCAAGTCAATTTTGTATCCAAGTAATTAGTTTACCCTGTATTCCATGTGATCTAACCTTGGTAACCAGTCTACCATGGAAAACCTTGTTGAATGCCTTCTGAAGTCCATAAAGATCACGTCTACCGCTCTGCCTTCATGAATCTTTGTCACTTCAAAAAACTCAGCCTCTCCCTGGAGTTCAAACACTCCAATCCCAGCAATATCCTTGTAAATCTTTTCTGAACTATTTCAAGTTTAACTAGAATTAGGCCATTCAGCTCACTGAGTCCATACCCACCCTCCAAACAGCATCCCACCTAGACCCACCCCATCCCTGCAGTGGTACATTTCCCATGGCCAATCCACCTAACTTGCACATCTTTGGACTGTGGGAGGAAACTGGAGCAAGCCCAAGCAGACACAAGGAGAACATGCAAACTCCACACAAACAGTCGCCCAAGGGTAGAATCGAATCCATGTCCCTGGTGCTGTGAGGTGGAAGTACTAACCACTGATCCACTGTGCCATCCTTGGGCAGGGGATTTTTCCATTCACACAAACAAAGATCCCACTATTAACAAAATCCTGAAGGCATCTTAACAAATAAGGAAGTTGGGTGCCTGCAACAGTTGCCCAATATAAACAAGCAATGAAAAGGTTCACAAGCAACTTCTCTATCATTACCAGTGCACAGCAGCAACAGTATATACAACTGCACAAGGGATGTACTGAGCAACTTGTCTAAGACATTCTGACTGTACCTTCCAAACTCATGATCTCCACCACTGAGACGAACAAGAATAGAAGGTACTGTCGACCCCACTAAGTCACACACCATCCTGACATGGAAATATGTTGACATTACTACACTATGTCAAAATCCTAGAATT